TGAAATGCTAGCACATAAGTAGGACTAAACTGGCACATCCCACATAGTTTTAAAACAATTAGAAAGTATCTCTGCAAAACAATGACAATGATGCCAGTTTTTGACATTCATATAAGTAATGATTCACTGTTGACCAGACTATCGGGAAAGGTCACTGATTCACTGCTGGCGAAATTAAAAAAAGGGTCTTTCTGGGAAGAGTTTGGTAGTATGAATCAAAACCCTTTAAAAAGCTAATACTCTAAAGAGATTTCTGAAGTTCAGACCAAAAATATATAAAAACATATTTATCAAAGTATTATCAAACACATTAAAAATTCTGAAACAATCTTATTGACCAATGTAAGAATAGTTCAATAAATTAGGGTATACTGATGTGAAGCAATATTAAACAGCTATTAAAAAAAAAAAGGGGGGGATTTAAGGTCATTAATACATGCTTATGTTATACTATTATGCTTTTAAAAAGTAGGATATGGTTCAAATTGTGCATATAATATGATCTCATCTTTATAAAATATGGGAAAATATTGGAAAGAAGTGTACAACATCAACAGTAAGTACATGTGGGTGGTGTGAGGACAGATGATTTTTATGTGCTTTGTTTCTTTGTATTCTCCATATTTCCACCACAACATGTAATTAGTTTATATTCAAAAATAAGGAAACTAAAAGCATATTTTAAATTTTAAAATGACTTAGGGAGGAGAAGAGAAAAAAAAGAGTTCCATTATCCACTATCTCCAACACAAGTAAATCTCCCATGGTATGAAAGAACCAACATAACTCCAAAACAATCTAATTTATACCAAGAAGAGTTATGTTATTCTCAAGTCTGTTTGGTCCACTAATCATAAAATAAAACAACTGGGGCCAATATGTCACAGAAGTATTGCATATTTTACCATTTTTCTTCAGTTAAACATTAATAGAAATTTTAGCCTCATATACTGCCAATTTAAAAATGCACTGAAGTTAAAATTTAAATGTCTATCTATAAAGGTGTGGTATCATTTCTTTCTTCATCATGTGTGCCTTCATGGATGAAAATATGAGGTTGCTAGTAAATAAACTTGGCTAATTCAAAGATGAGAAAACTGTAAATTTCATTACATCTTATTAAACTTACTCATTTCTTCAGTCATTTCCATTTTCATGTTTTCCTTCTGGAAATTCTGCATTGTTTGTAACGTCTTCTGTGGATCCATCTTCTTGTTAACTGCCTGCATTGTCTTTAAATATAAGAAAAGATTCATGTTAACTACAGAATTACAAAAATTATACTAAGGAATAAGTCCAAAGGGAACACAGCAAATGAAGACAGGTTTTAAAAAGAAATACATCCTGCCATAATAAAACATAAGAATTCTAGAAAAAC